ACAAAAGATAAGAAGGACTGTTGAAGTGTTGATTTTTCTCCTGACTCTTTAGCAACTCTATTAGTTAATTTATAAGACAGAACCCAGATTAGTACCAAACTTTAAAGTTAATGTTGCAAAGCTGTTTCATACTTTCACAAAAAGGAAAATTAAGTTGAAAAGAAATATGCTGTTGACTATGTACAGATTATTTTTTTCACTTTAATTTGAGAGAGTGATAAAAAGATTGAGTTGTACTGCTTTCACACAAAATAATGTATTTCACTGCTTTCTATTATTATTCATCATCTAGGCTTCTTTAATTTGGACTAGTTACTTCACAATGTGTTCAGTCATGTGCAACTGAAACTAGGTAAGGTCTTTACTGTGAAAATATGTAAGGAATGCAACAAGCTCTCCACACACATGCACTCATCTTACAAATATTAGGAAAGAACAATGACAACATACAAGTGATTTTTAACTGCCATAAATTCTGTATCTGCAAAAATCATACCAGGAACCAAGAGACTAGTTCCTTGTTGAAAACATGTCTTCAATCATGCTCGCCTTTATCTAATACACAGGAAGAGAATCTGTTCCAAGGAGGTGGATGCTTGGCTCTGTTTTTTTCCAGCTTCCTTTGACACTATTCATTTTGATAAGTCACATTGGAATGGGGTTCTGGCTTCTAGTCCCAGTGAAGGGGACTTTCCCCGCTTTTTCCTCAGAGTGAGACTAAAGAGATTATTTTTTGAAGGAAAAAAAAAGTGGGTTAAGGAAGATAGGAAAAGGATTTCTGCCCTCTTTGAAGAAATCAAGTGCTTTATCACAATGCAAAAATTAAAAAAAATCTTAATGTTGAAATGCTTGGCTAAATTATGAAGAAGCTGAGTCATGAAATAAACTCATGTGCTCAACTGAACTAGGCTAGGACCTCCACTTTGATCAGATTTACCCCATGTTCATGGGGATGATGTCTAGGTGAAGGCAATGGTGTGTGATGGTTAGAGTGGCTTGCATAGGTAAGACCTGGATTTGCACCCAGACCCCAACATTTAACAGTGTTAACAATGCACATCATTCAACACTCAAATTCCAGGAAAACAAAATCATACTTTATAGGTTTGTTTTGGAGGTTTCAGTGTAATAAACCATGTTAACAACTGTAAAAGGTGAAATGAAATAGAGTCACTTAGGTCAAGAGGTTTTAAAAGGGACCTGGGAGGCCATTAAAGAGGTAGGCTTTATGCATGTACTCACGAGGGTAGAACTGTTAACTTTTGAACTGGGCCAAAGCGCAAATATTCCAAGGACTCTGCAGGGGAAATCTGCAACTTGCTATCATAATGGACTTTTGCTTAGTGATGGCCATAGCAACCAATTATGTTTAGTCAAGATTAGTTCTCTGCCATCAGCACCTATCAAACGACTTATCCAAGCATTCCTTTCTGTCTTTAAAAACCATTGACTTTTGTTCCCTGGTTCCCTAGAATGCAATTTGGGTTGTTACTCAAATCTGTGCTCCCCAGGTTGCAATTCTGAGACCTCAAATCAATCCTTTTATTTTATTTCAGTTTTGCCTCTTTTCTTGGCCGACACAACTTAACCCAGTTCTTAACATATATTGATTTTGAATTGCTGGCCACTAGATTATGTTTATTCTACTAGTATATGGTCAATACAATTATAGCATCATTACTCCAGTATTCATAGAAACAATAAAATCCTCTCTATGCCTATAAAAATATCTGTGATATGCAATTAACGCAGGCCTTTCTTTTTGGATGATATTACAGAAATACCAGAACAAGTCTGCAATCAAGTCCCAGCAACATGAATTGTTTCAGTATTTGAATTCATAAGAAGGCTGTTATTAGGTAATTAGGTAACAATGCAATTTAGTCAGACAAAGAAATATGCAGGGAACCTTCCAGAATTAAGAGATTCTGAAACTTCATTCAGGTGCATTCATTTTGAACACCTTCTATCTGTCAGAACTGAAGTATGACTAGTAAATAAGATAAATGTGTTCCTGGCACTCACACCTGGAGGAGAAGAGAGAAATGATCAGGGTTGATCAGGGTAAAAATGCAATGCAAAATAGAATGTGTGGAATGAGGGCATTTATCCAAGAGATTCTATGGAGGGGGATTGCTTCAAGGAATCTCCCTGTGGGAGGGAGGACCTGAGATGAGCTTGAAAAAGTGAGTAGAACTTAGCCATGTGAAGATTAATAAGAAGGCATTCCAAAATCGTAAGAGACAGACCAAAGACAAACCTCGAATGTCTTTAGACTAAAACTAGGAAAACTTGTGATGAAAAGACACAAGGCAAGACACTTATGCCAAAGCACAGTTTCATTTAAGATACACGATCTTAACAGAACACCTTACATCAAATCTTCTGAAGTCAATGATACAACTCTGTAAGAATTTTGTTTTAATTTTTTTCTCCATTGTAATTTGGAAAGAGGAAAAGAGAAAATGCAAATGCGGTCTTTTAAAAATGTATCTTTTAAAAGATATTACTAATTCTTATTTTCTTGTCACATGTTACGAGTTTTTAGCCGCCCTTCATCCTGTTGTATCATTAGGGTTGATCAGCCTCCAATTCCACAACTTCATATTAGCAAAAGGTATAAACATCTTGAAAGAAGTCTTAAGAAATCATCAAACTCTTTCTATAGCTTTGCTTCTGACATCTCTAAGGACTTAATTTGTCACTTTTTGTTTAATAGGCTTTGAAGTTAAGCATGTGTTGTGTATTTCTGAAATATACAAAAGAGCCTAGGCAAAAAAACAACAAACATGTTTACTAGGAATGAACATTTTTAGTGGTGCAGAAACAAAACTGAGAACAGTATATATTGAACATTTTATTGTCTCCCTGTAATAGGCTATAAGCTCTAGGGCACAACCACATCACAATGGAGTCCCAAGTGCCCTGAGCATTGCCTGCCGTGTGTTCTATAAAAATCCAGGGGCACCTGGGTGTCTCAGTCCATTAAGCGTCCAACTCTTAATTTTGGCTAAGGTCACAGGTCATGATCTGGTTCATGAGATTCGCCCCGCTTCAGGCTCTGTGCTTATAGCATAAAGCCTGCTTGGGATTCTCTCTCTCCCTCTCTCTCTGCCCCTCCCTGGCTCATGCATATGCATGTGAATGCTCTTTCTCTCTCTCAAAATAAAGAAACGTTAAAAAATATGTTCAAAGAGTTAATGACCGAATGAATGAATGAATGAATGAATGAACAGAATGCATAAAAATGATTTGTGATTAAAAATATACTCAGATGTTAATATGTTAGAAATTCAGATTAAAATTTTTTGTCTTGGACAGCCTTTTGACAGGAATTGGGCAGCTTAGCTTCATTTGATGAAATGTCATGTAGTATTTAATTATGAGGGTCTGGTAAAAGACTCTATGAGTATTTTGTTCCAGTGCTTTCACAAAAGTCATTGTGGCTAGAGACAAAGTTAAATCAGTTATATCAGGACCAAATCAGTGAAGGCATAAAACAAAGGTAAGTTGGTTCACTAACTGCAGAGGGAACAAAAACACAACAGGTTTTGGGTAGAAACAAAAACAAGCAACCAGCTGCTGCTACTGTGTTCTTTCTTTCATTTCATGGATTTCACATCCTGGGAATTTCATTCCACTCACCATGAGTTCTAATACATGTTGTTACTTTTAGGTATCGTATTTAGTACCTCAAAATCTTTAATCAGGGGAAGTTTTTCATCAGTTTCTTATAGTTGTATATTAAATCTATTCTAGTTCCTTTAAGATATCAAGTCCCTGAGTCCTAAACACAAGAACCGAAAAAAAAAAAAAATTAGCTGATACTGTTGGCATGTCTCAAACTAGCGTGTGTGATTTTGGAATCAGAGGGACTGCACACAAAAGAAGCTACTTCCTTCATTGATAGGGGAAAAGATCATTTTAATTAGTTTCTGGCTCCCATGACAACAGGCCAAAGAACTACAGGAAAAACTCGAGGAAGCAAATTCAGGTATCTTGAACCTTAAATATTTAGTAAGTAGCAGTAGATAAAACAGCCAAGGCTAATGTGAGATAATCAGGGCTAACTTCAAAAGAAATTGAATACGTTTTTTATTCAGAAGCCTCTTTTTCTTTTTCATCTTGCATTATATAGTTTTCTCCAACTATTTTTCTAGAATAGATAATTACTATAATTCAAGCATGAACAGAGAACCAACATTTTCTGAAGACAGAAGTAAATAGTTTTTTTGAGAACTCATTTAACTCAGTGATAGAAACAAAAACAATTATGCTGCGTGATGAATAGAATAGATCTGGGGTTTCTTTACTTAATATTCACTCCATGGAAATTTCATGAGAAATTTATAACTCTTTTGCTGTTAACTTCTTTAACCTCTTATTCCTGACAAATAAAGGAAATAAGCCAGATGTAAGAGAAGTCTTAGTACTTTCATCTGCTGTTGAACTAAGGGCTTTTCTTTTCTTAATAACTTCTAATAATGTATTTTGTTAATATAAATAATGTACTTATAATTTGATAAATACTTATAACTTACTAAGAGCCTTCACACGCATCCCCACATTTATACTTCCTACAAATCTTTGAGGAAAATATTTGGTATATATAAATAAATATAGATAAATATTATAAATGTTAAGTCCATTAAGCAGATGAGAAAATCCAATCTCAAAGAGATCTGAAAAATAACAAGACTGATAAATGGCAGAACCAGAACTTTTAGTCAGAGGAGATTAAATTCATTAGTTTGCCCATTATACCACAGTAAATGTGTACATTTTAACACATAACGCCAAATACCATCACCAGTTATTAAGCCATTTCTTGCCATTCTTCTATGTGTTTTATAATTATTAATCTGGTGAACAACAAATATCATCCACTTACGGTTAAGTAGAAAGTGCTCGAAAACCCAAACTTAATTTTAGAGTACCTGTTTACTTCACCGTTATTACGTCCTATGGCGTTTTGATAAAAAAGTCTGGCCAACACTCACCTCTTTTTGCCGGTACTTTATAGCCAATTTTAGTCTTGCGAGATCATTTCCGCTTTGTTCTTCTATGAGACTACTGTCATCTCTGTAATTAAGAATGATTTCCAGTTCTCTGGAGCTCCTTGTCTGATCCAGTAGGTCCTTAGCGAACTGTTTGCACTGTCGGGACAGCTCTTCATACTCTGACTTGAATTCGTTCTCCACCTTACTCAGTTCCTGAAGCTCCCAACTTAACTGAAAGGCTGTGAGGAAAGGGTCTTCACTTGACAGTGCGATGAGAGAGGGGCTGGCCAAGGCCTTGTAGATGTTGAGTCTTGAGCGTGAATGGCGGAGGCTATCCACATCTGAACTGGAGACGCATTCGACACAGTTACAGCGGACCTCGTGGGGTCTGGGCACCGAAACTCCTTTCTGAACTAAAAGCTTTATTATCTCATAATTATTTGTATGGGCTGCCAAAATGATTGGTGTAATGTCTGGAGTGAATTCAGAGAACTGCTTATCAAGGAGTATGGGAGGCACCTAGAAAAAAGAAGAAAGCAGAGGTGATGAATATTTATTCATTTGTTCAAGCCTGTGAATTTCAAACAGCACGCTATAGCAACGCTGAACAAAGTTCATAAATCTTTTGCCAGGCTTTTTTTTTTTTTTTTAGGGGAGAGAATTTTTTTTTTTTTTTCTGCCAGAAGACAAGAGAAAATTAGAAAAACTTTTCAATATAACGACACATTATTCTTTTTTTTTTTTTTAATTTTTTTAACGTTTATTTAGCTTTGAGAGAGATCCAGACAGAATGAGAGTCGGTTGGGTGCAGAGAGAGAGGGAGACACAGAATCTGAAGCAGGCTCCAGGCTCTAAGCTGTCAGCACAGAGACTGACGTGGGGCTCGAACTCACGAGCTATGAGATCATGACCTGAGCCGAAGTCGGATACTCAAGCGACTGAGCCACCCAGGCGCCCCTAATGACACATTATTCTTATCATATTTGTTTAATCTGAATTATGACATTTTATGAAATCTTAAAATAAGGGGGTTATGGGAACTCTTTACTTGATGAAAGACTTTCTTGCTTCCAAGTTATTTCCTGACTGGCAATCTTTGCTTTCCTTTCCTGGAGGTATGGACTCCCTAAATAATGAAGAAATACACTGAAAAATAGTTAATGATTTGTTTTAAACCCAAGCTTTTCTTGTGCAACAGAAGTCTTTTAGTTCTGCAGTATTTTTTTTCTTTGTATATTGTTTGTTTATCTACTGAATTCGTAAAATCAAGCCTCTGATTACAGGTGGCAGTAGAAGTTAAGAAGGCCAGCCTCAGGCTTTCTGTTTTTATCTATCGCTCTATAGTATATCTTCCAGAGGGCAACAGGTGCTCCATTGCAAACATCACCATCTTAGCAGAAGGAAATGGTTCCCAATGAATCAGGTCACCAGTGTGTTTACGTGCAATTTCCTTTGGGTTTTACTCTAGGAATGGTAGTGACAAAAATAATAGAATAGGCACGATTTAGTCAACATCCGTTAGGTACATTAACCCTCAATATTTATCATTCACATGTTATAGATGTGATTCCTCAGTGAGGAAGACCTACTATATGATCCCAGCTCCACCTGTCTGACATCTCACCCTCTATGTATTACCCTACACCACACCCCCTTCCAATTTTTGGTTTAACAGTTCTTCCTCTGGGCACAGAGTGATGGAAGGATCTATGAAAATAAATGCTATATAAGGATAAGTTAAGCAGGCATGGCAGAAAAAACGATGACTAAAATATGCTGTAAAATATGAAGGAAACCATAGAAGGATCAAAAGCAAAACAACTGTGGGGAGAAAAGCAAAACTCATGTGACACTTTAATTATACTACTTTTAAACAGAAGTATACTCTTTATATGAGAACAATTAAACCTGTATGCTTCTAATTTATCTGACCATTTAGAATATCTCTTTGTTTTGGGGCGCCTGAGTGGCTCAGTCAGTTAAGCATCTGACTTCAGCTCAGGTCATGATCTCACCGTTCATGAGTTTGAGCCCCACGTGGGGCTCTGTGCTGATGTGTGCTGACAGCTGGGGGCCTGGAGCCTGCTTCACACTCTGTGTCTCCCTCTCTCTCTGCCCCTCTGCTGCTCATGCTCTCTCTCTCTCTCTCTCAAAAATAAATAAACATTAAACAAACTTTAGAATATCTATTTGTTTTATAAGAAACACCATATAAAAATTAACGAGATGTAGTTGTCTATTTAAAAGGTTATTTAAAATGTATGCAATCAGTTGATAAATATAGTACATACTAGTTTTAAAATGTGATTATAAATACAAAGGAACAATACTGTTGAGATAGCATTATATATTAAAGTGGGGTCAATACACACTTCATTACTTTTTAAGTGAACAGTTTTCACCTTAAATATGAAGTTAATTAAAAATTTATATATTTATTACAAAGAGAAAAATGTCATTACTCAGAACTGAACAAGAAGTGATCTTTTACTAACCAAAACTTTTTTTTTTCTAAGGCAGACACAAGGGAAAACAAAACAATGAAAGTAAATAAGTTCCTATATTAAATGCATATTTTTTATAGTTTTTAAAAAAATATTTATTTTTGAGAGAGAGAGACACAGGGCACAAGCAGGGGAGGGGGCAGAGAGAGGGAGACACAGAATCTGAAGCAGGCTCCAGGCTCTGAGCTGTCAGCACAGAGATCAATGTGGGGCTCAAACTCATGAACAGTGAGATAATGACCTGAGCCTAAGTTGGATGCTTAACCGACTGAGCCACCCAGGAGCCCCTTAAATGTATATTTAAGTGATAGATGCAACTTGAAGTGGGTTCTGAATTCAATGTAATTTCATTCTACATTTCTCTAGGTTTCAAAAGCTGTCAACGATTTTAATTTATTAACCATAAAATTCAACTTTGAAAAATATTTCAAGAAATTTTGTGAAAAAATAAATATGACCATACTAAAAAGTATTCATATTTCAAAGTGTATTTATTTTTAGAGACAGAGAGAATGCGCACAAGTGGGTGAGGGGCAGAAAGAGAGGGGGAGAGAGAGAGACTCCCAGGCAGGCTCCGTGCTGTCAGCATGGGCGGTGCCCAATGTAGGGCTTGAGTCCATCACCATAAGATCATGACCTGAGCCAAAACCAAGAGTTGGACACTTAACTGACTGAGTGCCCAGGCACCCCAAAGGCGTTCATATTTTGCAAGAAATGTCCTAGTATTAGAGATACAGTAAAATAACTGATAAAATATGTGAAAATATACCAAGAATAAATATTCTGTTGATGAGTTTTAATATTCAGTAAATCATTGTGAAATTTTAGTTTCCTAAATATACAGGCATCTTTAATTTTGTCTTTTATAAGGGGATTCATCTTTGAAAATAATTTTTGAGTGAAACTGTTTTATAAGACCGCAAATATAATAATAATTTATTGGTCCATAAAGAACTTTTTTTAATTATGTCATTTTAATTGTCTTAGAGTTTCCTCTTACTCTAAAATGTATTCTAAATTCAACAATAAATTATATGCTGTCTTTACCATTAATTTCTTGATGCCCAGCTGGTCAGAGAACACTAGCCATCGGGGACAGTTTGATCTTAAATGTCCCCACTGTAGGAGTGTGTGGGGCCTCTGACCAGCTGACCAGGCAGGCACACATCAGTGTTTATACATGTCCCAAAGGAAAGGCTCTGGGCTTCTCTTATTCATTAAGGAAAGTAGTAATAAAACAAAAACACTGTTAAAAAATTGCCTGTTACTTGAGTAGTAATTACATGCCTGCCTCAATGATTCCATGGTGTTTGAAAATTGGGAGTTTTCTTACCCTATCATCACTTCTACATTTACTAAGTCGTATTCCTCTGTATGTAAAAATATTCCCCTCCTCCTTTTTATTATTGCGTATCACTATGGACAATGGATTCTTCCGTTATTTTTTAACATGTTGTGATGCATTGCAATAATTATTAATTTTGAACTTATTGAGGTATAAGATACATTTATTAAAATGCACAAATGTTAATGTGATGCTTGATATATTTTTGAAGTGTGCATGCACCTGTGTAACACAACACAGATAAAAATCCAGAAAAGTGACTGCACTTCATGAATCTTCCTCCTGTCACCTCCTAGTCATTTTATTTATTTATTTATTTATTTATTTATTTATTTATTTATTTATTTATTTAGAGAGACAAAGTACAAGTGGGGGAGGGGCAGAGAAAGAGGATCCCAATCCCAAGCAGACTCCCCACTGCCAGAGCAGAGCCTGACGTGGAGCCTGAACCCACAAACCATGAGACCAACAGCGAGATTATGACCTGAGCTGAAACCAAGAGTCAGATGCTTATCTGACTGAGCCACCCAGGTGCCCCCATTACATTTTGTGATCACAAATCTAACTGCTATCACTATGGATTACTTGTACATACTTTTCACTTTATATAAATGAATCATAAAGTATGTACTGTTTACATCTAGCTTTCTTTGTGCAACATCAGCTCTTTGAAATACATCAATATTGTTAGTAATCATTTTTGTAATTTCAAGTCTGCATAATGTTTTCATTTATGAAGATAGGACAATTTATTTAACATTCTCTTCTTGATAACGTTTGTGTGATTTCCAGTTTCTATTTGTGGCCAGGAATATTGCTCCTATGCACATTTTTTGTCCGTGTCTGCTAATACATATCTAGGAATGTAATTTCTGGGTCAAATAGTTTTCTTAAGCAGTTATAGCAATTTTCCTATCACAAATTATACCGGGTATTGCCAATTATCCACCTATAAGTCTATATATCTCCCTATTTGTTTATGCCATTCCTTATGTCAAGAAATCATTTTGAATTCTTTTATTTATTATTTATTATCAAGGATGGGTGTTGAATTTGCCTAAGGCCTTTTCCACCTCTATGGAGATGATTATATAATTGTTCCCCTTACTCCTAAAAATATGGTAAATTAAATGAATGAATTTCTTTACATTGAAACATTCTGCTTTCCTGAAATAAATCCCATTTGGTCAAATGTATAATATTTTTAGTAAGACTAAAATTTTTATTTACATTTTTTGTGTCCATGTTCAGAAGTGAGATTGATTTATAATCTTTACTATGCTGTCTTCAACAAATTTCTGTTTGAATACTGTGCTTGCTTCATAAAAAAGCATATGAGTTCTCTCTTCCTTTGGGAGACAGGGAGATGTGCCACTCAGACCTTTCTTAGAGAGGATTTACTGCCTGCCCGTAAAAAGTGTGGTCTGTTAACAGGCCCCAGCTGTCCACCCCTTCAGGTCCTCCTCAGTTTTGGAGCCCAGGACAATGACTGCACAAGTAAGCTAGACAAGAGCCGAGCTCTTTCCACACAACCTGGGAGACCTCGAGTAGATAAGTTTCCTCTGAGCTCCCCTTTACACTGGCAGGGATTTTTGTCAGTTCTGCATCATGGTCTAATAGCCTCCCTTTCTCAATCCTGCTTCCTCCCCTTTTACTTTCAGAATGTCATT